TATGCATTTAAAAAAGAGAGGAGGGATTCTAGCATAGATTTATATGGTAACATTCCATCAGTAGACCTATCTTAAGAAATAGGAAGAAGAGTTTGCACGTAAGGTACCCGCTGCATATACCAGTCAGTACACATTATGTGAATATGTATCCTGTATATTATGTGATGAATATGCATTTAGTATGGTTAGGGGGTATCTAAGCATAGATTTATGTAATAAATTGTTATCAGTAGACCTGTTTATAATCAGGAGAGCGGTAATTTGTTATATGACTTGCTACCTTATTGATAAATACTCAATACCCTTCATTGGTGACTTCATTTTTAGTTTACATGACATTTTTGTATTTGGTATTTCTTGTGTGACACGCAATTCGTGCTGCTTGGGTCTCTACTGGACCTAACTCCCTTCTATGCTAGAGTGTGTTGGTGTCTATCTGTCTTGTATTGATTATATAAATGATTGGCTGGTTGATGGATCGCATTCGATAAATTTGTAGTATATATAGATCTAGATAGATAGATAGATAGATAGGATAGATATAGATAGATAGGTAGATAGAAGGATATGTTGAAAGGGGAATGAATAGACGGATGAATGGAATAACGAGGACCCTCACACATTCTAATCCGAATACGGCTCGAGTTAAATTTGAAGCTTGAGTTGCATCTAAAGTTCATTTTACGCAGAACTTGGTCGTGCTATGGTACCGAGATAGAATGCATCCATCATACATCAAAATCAGTGGTTCATAATCGTATAGTATATAGTATAGCATAGATATAATAATAGAATAGACCATCATGCTACTAAATAATCTGTTAAATAATATCCACACTTATCTAAATTCGTTGACATTTTTTACGATCGCATAATTCCGCGAGGAAAAATCTACGGTGACTTGACAGTGTCAGCGACATTGCATCAGATGTTTACACCTCATATCTTCCTCGCAGCAAATATCTTAAACAATAATAAGTATAGATGGTAATATTACGATTATCTATAGCTTAAATTTGGGGGTTATACAACATTCAATGCTCGGCCCTATACTCCTAATAACTATCATAGATCATTGAACATTTGTCGTCTGTCTATTATGTACGTAGAGAGACATAGAGCTTTCGAACATCTGAAACACGTCATATTAAACATGGCTGCCAGAGTATGTGCACAAATTTCCTCCTCCGTGTCTCCCAAATATGTGAACAGCAAATGGATTATCATAATGAATAACGAAAGAATTACACAAATGCAATCTGTTCAAGACGAACTTGGTAGAACTTACGTGCATTTTCTAATCCTCGTATCTCACAGTAGCGGCACCACGAGGGGGGGGGCATGGGGGGCAAATGCTCCCCCAGTCAAAGTCTTTCCCCCAGTCAGCTCCTGTACAAAGGTTTTAAGAACACAGTTTACAGGAGCAATGATAATATAAATTTTACTCCATAGGCCCAAAATGTTGCCTTTCAATCTTTGGGGTTTAACCCTAGTCAATCATGTATTTTGAATTCTCATTGAGTGGCAGACCTCCCAACCCTTCCGATTTTGGTGGAAAATTTCTGCTTTCTTATTTCATTTTTCGCCACTACGATTTTCCCTTTTATTTTTCCGCGAAACAGCAATTTCCGTGTATATCCTGTATTTACAACACTAGCGCACTACATTAAAATTAGAAGTTTGGATATGGATCAGAAGTGCTCTACAAGCGTGTTTATTTCTCTGTTTAAGGCATACAGAGGCTTGATTTTTCACCTCAAAAATGCTAAAAACTCAGAGCTTCCGGAGGCTTTACCCACTGGACCCCACCCATTAGTTCCCACGCTACACGCTCGAATTGGCGCGACGCGATCACAACAATTTGCCCCCCAACATTTTTCCTTCGCCTCAGCTTGCCCCCACCCCCACTTTTACAATCTTGCCAGGGGCCCGTTGTCAGAAACAAAATTAGTCTTAACATTAGTCTTAACATTAACTTCCACTCGTAAACCGTTGACAGAAACATCGTAATGTTACGAGAACCAGGGCTGAAGCTAGACAGTATTTTTCCAGATTTTAAGGGCCCATCCCCCAAAAAGGGCACACCACCCCACAGTGGGCGCCGTCAGGCGCGGAAGCACATGGCAGGAGGTCTGGGGAGCCTCCCCCAGAAAATTTCAAAATTTCAAGGGTCCCTGGGCACAAAAATTAGCACCATTTCAGCACACATTTAGTCAAGCAGCAATAGCTAAAAACCATATGGAATTTTATTTCTGCTTCATTTTACCTGCGTTTTGCATACCAGCAATTAATGCAGAATGATTCAAGCACTTCCCTTCTTTTTCAGATATCAAAGCTAGTTTTGTTACCATGTAAAATCTTGATTTACTTCAAGTCCTGTCAATGAATCAGAAGAAAAAGAAAACAAATAAAGAATATAGCCAAATTCCATCAAATTGTTTTCTGTATTTTTTAGCGCAAAATTTCGAAGGGCACTTTGAAATCTAGACCGTATTTCCCAATACGGCAAATACGGTCTGAATCCGCCCCTGAGAACGAAAAATCTTCGAAAATATCCTCTTAACATTACGAGAGCCCAGACCAAAGATAAAAATAACACATTTACACTACGAATTACAATGATAGTGATATTATATTTTATAATAATGAGTAAAGTGTGTGTCTTTCTTTAAAATCACGTCAAAAACATTAATTATCTACCGATCATAAAACAAAACATTTGCAAATGGCGTATGACATTTGTTCTCTTGTTTTAATGTTGTTTGCCACTGGCCAGGACTCTCGCGTCTCGTGTTATAAATTACATCACGAACGCATGGCGCTGCCCTACCTTCCCTTTATACCGGTCAGAATTTTATTAAGTTATTACGTTATGGTGTTTAAGGAGCATGAACTCTATGTGAGAACATAGAGAGGAGTGGCGTTAGAAATCGCACCATGCTCGCACGTTGGTGTGTTTTGGTGAACATGCCAATTTCCAGGTCTAGTAATCCATCTCTTATCGCTGATAATTCTCCTTGGATCGTGTGTCCGGGGTGAATGGTGTACGTGAAATTAAAATGCCTACTAAAATCCGCTACCAATATTTTCGAAAACATAGCCGCTGAGTCATCTAACGAATATGAACCATAGGATTCAACTTTTATGTGCGCACCATTCAGTTGATCGATACCGCGTGAAGGCTGAAGGTTTGTCACTTCCTGTCGCAGCTTTATCTTGGAGTTGTTACTAGCAGAGGGGATTAGACAGGCTGGAGAAGACGATGGGTTGGTGTTGATCAGCGAACATGCTGACGCCAGTAGAGTGTAGACGAGCAGGTAACGTAGAGACATGTTGCTCGGATTAGAGTAATTTACCTGATGAGCCAACATTCTCACCTGTACAGGTGATACGTTGTCAGCCCTGGCTATCCATTATCCCGCTACAGCGCCGCTCGTGGCCAGTGTTCATTATTGCACCATGTTCTGCTTGCATCTATGACAAATACGACATACGTATATACGCTCTCCTATGACACTATTTGTCATAGGAAGATTCTCCCTATGACAAATATTGGCGAGTCAACTTCGTTCCGATTTGCAGCTCAAATTCACTGCTTGCGTTCATAATAGCGCTCCTAAACTTCTATGATGCGCACAACACATACAACAATATTTGTCATAAGAAGAATCTTCCTATGACAAATAGTGTCATAGGAGAGCGTATATGCGTATGTCGTATTTGTCATAGATGCAAGCAGAACAGGCTGGTTATTGCCAGGTTCCATGTCAGTCTTTTGTCGACAATAAACAACAATATGTGAGAAGTAGTGCATCCATTATATTGCAATATTTTTGTCGTATCTTGGTTGAGAACTCGTGAGTTGTTGTGTGCGTTGCTATACCGTGTATTACAAACATGTGCCATCGGAAGCATTTGCCAAATAGATTGGACAACTACATCAAAAGTCTGTACGCCTGTCATTCCCGCAGTCAATGAATTTATTCGCTTGGCACGCACCTGGTGTGTTGTGGTGGTGGTGTAGGTGGTGGTGGTGGTGGCGGCGGTGGTGGAGTAATGGAAGTACATAGTTTTATATTTCTTACGTTTAATTAAGTAGTTATGTAGCCGGATATATTTAGAAAATGAATGTATCTGCTGTATATAAGCATTTAAAATTTATTGAAACGTGTGTAACAGAGAAAGGTTTCCCATTACATAAAGAATCTTAGGACAATTGAATAAAACATGTAAGTAAAGAATATCATAATTCTGATATTTTGCTAGTGACGACGTACGGATAGCCTATTGTAGACAACGTCTCGGGGAGTCATTAGCCTATGTGGAGCCGTAATTTCACGTTTAAGACAAAGAGCGATTCGATTGCTCCGTTCTCGCGCGCATGTGCGTATCATAATAATTAATATACTTGATTAGGAGTATATTGTTGTAACATATTAGTTAACCTCTTTAGCTATCATTCGCAAAATATGTGCATTACCGGACAATACGCGCTCGTCATATCTCTACATTTCTGTAAAGACGTTGTAACCTTTTTTTCATAGCATACTTGCTAGGAAAGTCAGCCCTGACTTTCTAACTCGTCAGTGACACATGATACCAGTTGTTTACGCCTGATGTATTTCTTATAGCAAACAAACATACATTAATACAAACATACGAATCGATAGTAAGATTAATTATGATTCTCTAGGTCTTAAATTGGGATTTCCAAAATAACCAATATTCGGCATACTACTCCTAATATCTACTATATATGATTAATTCTTTTCTATGCGCCAACCTCACGAGAACGATCTTACGTTTAAAATACGTATCTAGTTTTTATATTCACAATAAATTTAGATGAATTCTAACATCACAATACTGCACAAATAAGAAAAAGCGTCCTGCTAAACGATGAACAATTCCTGAGTAGCACATCGTACCCAATAACAGCAATAAATTACATTATAGACATAGCTTGCTACATCAACCGCCAAATAACAACAGGGAATAGATTAAAATTTGTATAGCTTACGCCACGCGTGCTTTCGATGACGCCTTGCGTTTCTCTTGTTCCTCTTCACAATGACCTCCAGTAGAAGACAGAGCAGCGATGGTATTAATCCTATCAGTAGCACGAGTAGGATTCCTGACATGGTGTGTAAGTGAAGATTGCGCGCGTGTACTGTCATTCCTCCTACCTGCGAGCAATCGGGTGGTACAGGTAGCTGCATCTTATAGTGATGTGTGAAGAGACCACTTTCTTTATACCGCTGAAGACCTATATTCAAGCCTTGCTCGTATTTGCTGCCATGTTGCACGAACCACGACAAGTAACTTGCCCGTATCTTTATAGGAGCTACAGCTAGGCTGCAAGTTCCTGTTGCCGCATATTGTGCGCGAAAAATAGCATCCGTGCCTATTTCATCGCTGATAAACGCATATTCTCCTGTGAGAACGAGTTCCAGTGCAGTATCTGTACTGCTCACTACAGCCCGCTCATCCGCGGAGATTTTTTGCCACAACGTTCCCAGGTCAGACTCTGAAGGTTGTTGCTGCATCTGATTAAAAATCGCCCACCCTTCAACGGAGGTTGGTGTGATAGAAGGATGAAGTGCAAATTCATGTAGTGTCTCAAACGGATACTGTATCGCCGGCTTAACAGTAAGAGAACTGAATAGATGTCCACCGTACAAAGCGCAAACATTAAGAACGAAAAGCCACCACATAGACAGTAGTATTCGGGTAGAAATAGTTCGAGGCAAGCTGACTCCGCCCTGCTGCAGGAAGGAACCAAACATGTAGACCACATAGTAGACTATACCTTGTGTAGATTCCGTATTTCCCTCTAGTCCACTGTCCTTGTGTGACCATCTTTCCATAGCTGCCGTTATTAATGTTGCCACAAGTAAATATGCAAGCAGACAAACCCAAATGTAGGTGTCAAATGGATCGAGAATATTTAATATTTCGGTCTTCTGCCTTGGTCTTTTGATAACGATAACATAGTTCTCAGTCAGGAGTGGTATTAGGAATCGCACCATGCTCGCACGTTGGTGCGTATAAGTAAAAAAACCAATTTCCAGGTCTAATAATCCATCTCTTATCGCTGACAATTCTCCTTGGATCGTGTGTCCAGGGCGAATGGTGTACGTGAAATTGTGATACTTACTCAAATCCGCTAGCAATGTTTTCGAAAACATAGCCACTGAGTCGTCCGATGAAAATGATTTGTGGAATCCAACTTTTATGTGCGCACCATTCAGTTGATCGATACCGCGTGAAGGCTGAAGGTTTGTCACTTCCTGTCGCAGCTTCATCTTGGAGTTGTTACTAGCAGAGGGGATTAGACAGGCTGGAGAAGACGATGAGTTGGCGTTGATCAACGAACACGCTGGCGCCAGTAGAGTGTAGACGAGCAGGTAACGTAGAGACATGTTGCTCGGATGAGAGTGATTTACCTGATGAGCCAACATTCTCAACTGTACAGGTGATGCGTTGTCAGCCCTGGCTATCCATTATCCCGCTACCGCGCCGCTCGTGGCCAGTGTTCATTATTGACAGGTTCCTGATGTCAGTCTTTTGTCAACAATAAATTATTACTAATATTGAACATATAATATGTGAGAAATAGTGCAGCCATTATATTGCAATATTTCTCGTAGCTTGGTCGATAACGCGTGAGTTGTTGTGTGCATAGCTATACCGTGTATTACAAACATGTGCCATCGGAAGCATTTGCCCAATGGATTGGACAACTACATTAAAAGTCTGTACGCCTGTCATTCCCTCAGTCAATGAATTAATTCGCTTGGCACGCACCTGGTGTTGATAGTGGTTACTGAATTAATTCTCTTCGGACAAAGGATAATGGATAAACATAGGCATGCCAGAGTAAAGCACATTAAAGTTATTTTTTACACCGCAGAGAAAACTTTGAAGACGAATTCTATTCCCCTCATGACTTTTAATGTATGTTAGTGGTACAGCGGGTATGCGCAAAAGCAACAATAGTCATAGTGGTAGCCTAGTGGTGGACTCTTTTCGGAAGTGTGGCATATGCAAGATGGCAGGAAGGTAGTAGCTACACGGTCCGAATCATTGAATCAAAAGCCAAGCTCTGTCCACTCAACCAAAAGGGGGACATTGTTAAGTCGGAAATCAATGGAGCTGTAAAAGGCGTCCGCCTAAGGAAGTTTATTGAGCAGCACTGCCGAGTCAAGTTCAAGAGGATATTTCATCTAATCGATTCCAGAACAGTTCTGGGTGCTGTGCAGAAAGAGTCATATGGTTTCGCTACATTCTTCGCCAATCGGGTTGGTGAAATCCAGTCACTGTCTTTGCCAAGTGAGTGGTACTGGGTGCCGTCTGAGGACAACCCTGCTGACCTGGTAACACGTTGAGCTGCTCCTGCACAGATGGCCCGCCATGTTAATAAAAACCCGGTGGTCAAAAGGGCTGTACATGAGTTGGAGGATGAGCTTTTGCGCCAACAACCTGGTGTTGGACCAGTTCCATTACTTACTCTCTCGGTAGCTGTGACAAGATACGTGTGTGACAAGATACACACCAGCTGACTGCAATATCTATCACTCACGAATATTGTTCGCGTGCGTGCGTGCGTGCGTGCTTGCAATTGGTGCGCGTGCGTGCGTCTCTGTGTGTGCGCGCATGCATATGGTGTGCGTGCATGCGTACTTCTGTTTGTGTGTGTGGGTGTGTGTGCGCGCATCTATGCATGTGTGCGCGCATGCATATGGTGTGCGTGCGTTCGCGCGTGCATTTATACGTGTGCGCGCGTGCATGTGGTCTGCGTGCGTGCATCTGTGTGTATGTGTATGTGTATGTGCGTGTTACACGCATATCTGTTATCGTACAAGCGCATACACATGCACGCACGCACGGACGAACGCACACACGCACGTACACCAGGGACAAACATTCCAGCGTCTAATCCGCATCTCTAATGTCGCTGCTTGCATCGTTTGCGGTTTTCGTGTGAGCGTAACCATAGTGACGATGACGTCATCGTCGTCGCGCAGACGCGAGTATATTATGATAGTGTAACGGATTTCGCTCTCTCTCTGATCGCCTAACTAACCGACTCGACTACTACCATTGGCCGTGGTATACGTCCGGTTGCCGTTGTCGCCGCGCACCCTGACAGGGCCGTTACTCCCCGTCCTTTACGAGTTCGATCACAAGGATCGCGACGAGGCAGAGGCAGCCAAACACCCGAGCGCCGAGAAAGGGGGGGTTCCGGTCGTCCAGTGAGATACGGAGGGGGGGGGGTGCCGGTCACGAAGTGAGAAGTGAGAATGCTAGAAAGTTAATAAGTATTATTCGGTAATGCGTACTAAACAAGAAGTTAACACATTAACCAATTACACAGCAACTGTTACAGCACGTTCGCTCCGAGCCAGACTCGAGTCATCATCGCGCGCGATTCGACGCGTAAGACCATCACGCCACCGTAACATGCAAACTAACAATTACTACAGGCGATTTAAACACCAGTGCCTATACATCACAAAATACGTTCGATAACAGATCACTTCGCTATACCGTAGACTGTCTAACGAGCGTCGTCCTCGCGGTGGCGACCCCTGGTGTACAAAATGTGTACACGTACATATACACTACCTACACAATACAGCTTACGTATAATTACTACACTCTTAGTGTAGGCCTACAGCCATCTGCATCAGCAGATCACTTCGCCTATACCGTAGACTGTCTAACGAGGCGTCGTCCTCGCGGTGGCGATCCCTGGTGTACAAAAGATGTGCTACAACGTACATATACACTACCTACACATACAGCTACGTATAATTACTACACTCTTAGTGTAGGCCTACAGCCATCTGCATCAACAATACACTATCACAATGTCAGTCTGACATATCTCAATCTCGCCGCAACCGCAACGTACCCATCACTCCGACTCGACCAACGGGCAGCCCCACTCGACCCTACCTCACTTGACCACTCCAGCACCTGTTGACCATACTAGCTACCGCACGCGCACGGTTAACATCGAACGTATTCCAAAAACACAACTGCCCGCCATAACTCTCCGGCGTATCTCCTTCGCGCCGTTTTTTTTATTGTTTTCACTTCTTGGAACCGTCCTCGCGGAGGGTACCCACAAATTGCTCATTGCGGGAGATTCCCCGCTAGCGCCATCTCTCGTGAGACAAAAATGAAACGCACGATACCAAAAGCGAATCTGCTACAATAGGTTTGATCGTACAAATTTTTTTCACAAATTGCTGCTGCTACTCGTACTGTTACAGATGTTGCTGCTAAAAACTTGTGTAATTTTGTTGTTGTGTATCACACGTCGGATTTGTTCGTGGGGTCGCGCGAACACAACAGCTGATATCTGGCTCGTGTTTGTCACTGTAAGAGTCACTGTAAGAGTGCTGCACGTAGGTAGCGCAGCCGAGTGTCGCCGAAGATCTGCAATAATAAAAAACTAAATTTGTGAAAGCGTGCTGTGACAACTCGGTCGCGAAGAACAGGGAACCTTGCCTTGCAGATGCGACGTCAGTTTGTGTGCGCCTCCTAGTGTTGATACACGGCAGCATTGTTGGTCCCCTAGTGTTAATACACAGCAGCATTGTGCACCCTCTAGTGTTGATACACAGCGGCATCGTGCGCCCTCTAGTGTCGATACACAGCGGTATCGTGCGCCCTCTAGTGGTGACTCACGGCAGCATTTGCTGAAGCAACTTTGTAGCTATTTTTGTACATAATTTGTAAATTTGTCAGAGACGGAGAGAAAGTCGGAGAGAGATTATTTATTTAGCTTTTGTTACCGCCCCCCCGCGCGCGCCACATTGTAACCGAGTGTACGTCGTACGTTTGATTTCTCCTATATAAGAAATCCGAATACTTCGTGTGTGTGTGTGTGTTTTTTTCCGTGGAACACGCGAGGAGGTCCGCGTGTTCGGTCGCGTGAAGGTAGACCCGCATCATGATCAGAGGTTCTCTCAAGCGGTTCGTAGTTTAGATGCCTATGCTTGTACCATACTTCTCTCGCGACGGGTCAGAATACGGCGTGACGACGTTGACCTTGATGCGGCATTCAAAGTCACGGCTAGCATTTTGAGGGAGACGATGGCGAGAGAGAGGGGGGGATAGGAAAAGAGAGAGAGAGGGAATTCTTGCGCTTCTATGCCCCATTGTCTTGCAACAAGTCCCGGCGTGCGTGCGTGCGTTCGTCCGTGCGTGCGTGCGTGCGTGTTGGTGTTGTAACATGCAGCTTCACCCATCTCTATAATCACAGTTGTTTTCGGGGTTAGAGTGATCGGGCGGGCCATACTTCTAAATGCCTTCCAGTATCCCTCCCTCTACACGGCCACTCGCTAAAATATCTCCCGGGCCATGTAGGTATACCGGGTAATGGTGATATATGTACGTTTCCGTGTATGCGTGTGTAAGTGTGTATGTGTGAATCGTATCTACTATCTACAGAGTGCAGCACAGACTGACAGCTTACCTCTCCCAAGTGTAGATGTAAAGTGATGCAAGATAGCTCTAGATCTATAGCCCTTCACTCTGCCACAGAGCGAAGGGCTATAGTTCTCGAGTTAGATGCAGGAGTGCGTTATTCTGTGTGCCTGTAGGCTACAATGCTCTCTGCTGTAACGCTACTGCTAGAAGCGAGGCCGTTACTCAATCCACAACTTTGTATTATAACGGGGTTCCTTTACGTTTATCTGCCGCGATAACAGCGATGAGGGGGACGAATACTATTGTATGTAAACTTACTGGCAGGGTTATAAGAGAGAGGGGGAGAGAGGGAGAGCGAGAGGTTAAGAGAGACAGAGAGAGAGGGCGAGAGACAGAGAGAAATGGGGAGAGAGACAGAGAGAAAGAGAGAGGGAGAGAGACAGCGAAACAGAGAAAGCGGGGGAAAATTAGAGAGAGAGAGTGGAAGATAGAAGCTGCTGTACAATAGCTATAGGGTGAACAACCAGAGAGACCGGGTACAAGATGGCGTTGCGCAAAAGATGCGTTGTTCCCCGACCGCCGAGAGCGGTTAAGCCGCGCACTTCCGCGGGACTTGGCGCAGGCGACCGCGGGGTGTGGTATGTAGCATCTCGCGCTGCCCGCTATACGAATTCGCGCGCCAAAAGAGGGCAGGCGCACGAATCCGTATAGCGGGCAGCGTAACATCGTGCACTTTTCGTCAGACGTACACCGGCTTGGCTACTGCGGCCTTGGGAAGAGGGCATTTCCTGCTGCTGCTGCTTTGCTGCTCCAGGGCCGCGCTGCAGCAGGGACGACTAGCCCTCCTGCGCGCGAATCCGTATAGCGGGCAGCGTAACATCGCGTTCATCACAAGATGAAAGTTGTTCACAAATGAAGTCACATGTTGTCACAAGAAATGTTGTCACAAATGAAGTTTTCATCACACCTACACCGGCTC